AATCTTAACAGTGGCAAAGAAGGTTGCAGCCAATTAGACAAATGATCTAAATCACAGATAAACCCAAAATATAATAAAAAAAAAAACCCAAAGGCGTTTTACATTTGAGGCAGAAACACAAATAACAAAATGAACTGAGCTCTGAAATATTAAAACATACAATGAACATTTTTACATTCAAATAGAGGATATGCTCGATTAAACTGGTCACATTGTGCACACTGTTCAGGCAGATTTGAACACTTCGCAGTGGTTTTTAGAGTCGTCTTTTTCTATATTTGTCATTTCTAAGCAGCTACAGTGAATAGAGCATGATTTTAAAAAATAAAGTATAATTTCATTGTAACAATTGGATCCATATTAGAGTTTTTTTATTTTCTCTTGGACCTGACATATTTCTAAAAAGAAATAAGCCAAAGATAAGGATTTATCTTCTATTCCAGCGATGCAGACAATGAGGACTCGCTCAGACTGGGGTTTGACAAAAAAAAAAGGACTGAAGTGAGAGGTAATGAGTGTCACAAGGAGGATATTCATGTTCGGATCAGTCGCCATTCAATTGGAAATTTCCATATTAATATTCTGGACTCACTTTGGCAAAGCAAGAATCTGAAGCAGCAATCTTTCCTCAATTATTCTGTTTTCACTGCAGATTTGGACTTTCCTTCAATTTCTTACAAAGCGATGATATAACAAAAGCTGGTATCCAGACTGAAGACAATGAATGGGATTAAACCCTTGACAGAAAAAAATTTGGGCTCAGACATTCAGGCGGTAACACAGAATAATGTTACGCAACGTTTGCCTTTGGTCTCACTTTTTGTCGAACTTTGTTTTGGAATTTTCTTGCTTCATCAGGGGACCTGTGATTTATGGATACAAATGTGAGCCATAATAAAGCACTAATGAAGCCGAGGAAGGTGACTTTGTATTTGTCCATACAGCACAGCATGCTTTTTTTGTTTGCTCCTAGAAAGGTTACAGATGCAAACGTTAGTGTTAAATCATAACTTTTGAAAATGCACGATTCGATCAAGCCTGACAGAGTGAGCTGGCATCGGAATGACGTGTTGCCACAAAAAAATAAATAAATAAATGAAAAAGGTGACAGAGGAGCGAAAAGGTGTTGCTGCAAAGGATTGTTTGACACGAGCACACACATCTCTCACACAGGGCGAGGCTGCACCACAAACAAATGTAGGCCACATATTCCGCCGGGAACGGAGCGGCCGTCAGGAGGATGAGCCTCACCACCAGCTATCAGGCTAATACAATGCAAGGATGAGACAGGGAGAGGAGATGGAGAAGATCAGTTTTATGGAGAAAAAAAACACTCAGCAGAAGAGAAGCCAGAAGAAGCTTTAATTACCTCCTGTTACTGGCTTAGGATGCTTTGTTGTGATTTAATCATTGGAGAGAGAGAAAGGGAGAAAGGAGGATTGTAAAGTTCACTGAGAAGGCACTGGAAGGGAGGAAAAAAGAAGCAGAATGAAAGCAAAATGTATGCGGGGGGGGGGGGGTGCAAAACAAAATGGGTATTGAATAAAGATATTCAGACTAAATGAAGCTGAAATTCATGACAAATCCTTCCCAGCACCAATCCCCGGAGCAACTCTGGAGTCTGAGTTCTGCAACACTGTCATCTTTTCCTAATTAACCACTCGGCAATCTCAAAATATGATCTGTAAATATTATTAACACCCATCCCCATGACAGGAGGGGACTCTAATGTGACACAAATGATAAATACACGGTTGTGTTTTTTTGTTCTGATGATTCGGGGGGACAGCTGTGCAAGGGTTCCTGTGAGGGTTCCTTTACAAACCGAGGAAGCTCATGTGTTTATGAAGCTAACTGGGTCAACACAAGCAGATCTCAAATCCCAACATTGTTGCAACTTATCCGTAAAAGACTTCAGTTCCTGCTCCAAACATGATGCTGCCCTAAATTTGTTTTCCCCACCAGATCCAGGGAAGCTGTTCCACATGACGGCTGACAGTTTAGGACAAAATGTCAAAGATGATATCATAACAAATGTTTAAAAAAGTGGGTAATGTCTTCAGCATGCAAAAATAAACAAAAAATGTGGAGACTTCTTTTTGCAACTAATAAACTCCAATAAACGTGCAGCTCCGTTTCTCCCACTGCCCACTGCAGTATTGCTGCCATTAATTTCAGCATCTCAGTGGGAGCCAGGAGAGGCCCTCAGGCTGTAACAAGAGGCTCCTGCTTCCTCTCATGGACCATCAGTCTTTAACTGGAGCTCCTTAAACAGCCTGGGAGGTTCCTTGTTAAGTGGCAACACTTGAGATTATTATCATTTTGTGCTCGTGCTGCGTGTGAGAGCAACACTACTGTTGCTGTGGTTTTAATGAAATGCATTTAATCGACAGTGTTCAGTGTTAGCCCTCTGATGGACCCAACCAGGGTCTGGTAATGCTTGTAGCAATGAAATATTCGGATTGCAACTAATTATTATTTTGATAGCTGACTAATCTGTCAAAAACAGTTTAATTATTGGAATTGTTAACATTTATTTCAGTCTGTCTCTACTGTTTTGAACTCCAGTACAGTTTTAGCTCACCTGCTGGTGTGCCCACCTGTGAACATTACCTGAGTGTCTTTATAACATACCGCTCCTGTAAATTAAAATAGTAACCCGTATAACACATAAATTAGAAACTAATCAAATGTATTAATTATGTTACTTAATGTGAAAACAAATAAACTAAACAACATGGTCAGTCTGGACCTAAATCTGCAAAACAGATTTGTTAGCTGCTACAAGCAAAGATTATTATTTGTTGATGTGTTTCTGTGTAGCGTTTGCATGTTCTCTCTGTGCATGTATGAGTTTTCTCCAGTTATTTTACCCACAGACCTAAAAACATACATGTTTGGCTAACTGGCAACTCTAAATGTCATTGGGTGAGAGTGAGTTTGTCTCATTTTGTCTCTGTGGCCATGTGATGGGCGCAAGGGCATAGGTTTGCCATTAGTGGGATTATGCTCTCTACCTATTGATTGATTTATTTGTTGATTCATTTACTTTTGTAAAATTATTCAGAACATTTGGGCATTAAAATACATTATAAAGTTTATTTACTGTGATTTACTTAGCTTTCCTGTTTTCTTTATATTTACACTGCACCTTTTCTGTTCCATGTCAGTTCAACAATTAAGAAAAAGGTTTACTTTTTTCCTCCCACTTTTTCCAACAGTAACAACTATTTTTAATTTTTTGGATGCATTTTACAGCATACCTACATTTCACAATTTTCAGAGAGTAATTACCTGGTGTACTACAGTTTGTAAAAATTACAATATGAATCAACAAATACAGCCAAAATGTGACAAGAACAGACTAAAACCCTGCGTGTCATTTTCAGCAGTTATGCTTAATCATACATATCTGAAATTGTAAAATTTGATAGGAAATTATAAATAATAAATAGAGCAAATTATGTTATTTTATTGGGGGGGCTATATTGACTGGATCAAAATATTGTAGGGGGTCATAATCCCCCTAAGTCCCCTGCAAATTACGCCTATGGATGGGCGGATGTACCTTTTCCTCACGCAGTGACTGCTGGATATGGGCACCTGTGACCCTGAAAGGAAGAGGCGGGTATGGATGGATGTTAAATATATGTTTATCATTATTTTAGTACGAATTTCTGCTTTTACTGTTTTTTAAGATACACCTCACAAATCAATTTAGGAATGATTTAACAATCAATTTAAAATTGTAGTTAATAAGAAAAGCCTTGATTATAAAAATGAACTCAGAATCAACATCAATTTAATCTTTATGTGTTTTGAGGTATTTTTGTATGAAGCAACAAAATAGTTTGATATTCATTGTGTCATTTTGAGGGTTTTTGTACCTGAACACAAATTAGACACTTGAAGACATAAATAATGCGCAGAAACAGTTCTGAGCCAAAAAGTCAAAACACATGCTTCACATTCCCAGAGGTCAAACTTTTTTCTAAGTGTCTATTTGAAATGAATCTCATTTGCACTGGAATAAATCCTCCCAATAATCCAGTATATCAAAGCTATGATTACTAAAAGACAGCTAATTTAAGCCAGGCTGAAGGAATTCACCCCCATGCTGTCCTTGGACCACGTGGGTCATTTTGACCAAAGGACAGCAAGAGGGTTAACGATAACGACTGAGAGCGAAAGGCAGAACTGATATGTGAAACTGAGCTCAAGAGGAAGAGGAGGAGGAAGATGCATGTTAATAATATTCCTGAAGCTGAAATTCATATTTTAGTGATGACAGCTTGACAACCTTCGCTCAGCTCTGTGGTTGAAGACTGGTTTTGAACAAGGCTTTATTTGTTGTTGTTGTTAAAAGAGGTCACAGCTACTCTGCATCCTTTTGATTGGAGAGGGTATCTAGAGACAGATGTACGTGTGACTCTGCGGCTGACTGCATCCTCTGATCCTGGTGGATCAAAAACGTCTGGGCTCTGGGATTAGACACTTCAGTCTGTGTTGCTCGTCACACTTCGTGCATTTTGCTGCACCGCTTCGGCTGGAGAGGACTTTTCCTTTTCCCCACAACGCTGTCACGTCCCGATGTTAACATGAAGTGACGTGCCTGTTAAGACAGTAACAGCAGTCACCCAGAATCAGGGTTACACCAGCCGGGATGGAACATTTACACTGAAAGGCTGTTCTTAGTGTGTGTGTTTGTGTGTGTGTGTTTGTGTGAATCCACAGATTTAAAAAAACCTTCTCATCATAAAATGAACTTAGTTTAAAACCGCAGTCTCAGAAATGCCAGGCCTTTCATTTTTGTTCTTATTTTTCAAGTCGTTTAATGAAAATTCTCTTAACCCTCTGGTGACCTTTTGGAGTTATTCATGACATTTCCTGCAACATGACTCAGATTAGGTACAAGCACAAATCTTCAATTTTTTAAAAAATAGTTTACAAACATTATATTAATAAACAAGGTTCTCAGATTCCCAACTGTGCCATGTTATGTTTTTCTTTATCAGGCTTCACTCTTCAATATTAGAAATGTGCTAATTACATGGTCACAGCTTAATTCTTTTCAAATTAATACATTTTGCAGATCCAGTAAAGCGGACATAATGAGGCTAATTGGACAAAAACGTGGTTTTGAACATCCCTGCATGTACATGGTAATGGACTTAACGGAACTTAAAAAGTAAAAAAAAAAAAAATGTAAACAACCCCAGAAAGTTTAAAGATCAGAAGTCAAACACATAAAAAATGAAATCAAGGACATTAGTGTTCCTCAAGTTCAGCACTTCTCTCTCCACCTGCTTCCTCTGGTAAAATAAAATCCAATTCTGCCACTTGACAAGAATAACAACCCTTCTTTTTCTAAAACAGTTGATTAATATTATGAGATACTTTTTAAATGATTAATTCTAAACTTCATGCTCAAACTCTTCTCTTTGATTCTGAGGAGAGAGAAGCCAGCACAGCGCAGCAGAACATCATGTTCCTCATGACTGACCCCCTTTTCATGTTTCACATGTTCAGAGAAAAAAAATAATGTAAACGGCAAAAGTGGACACTTCATCCTGTGCTTTTACATTTATTATTGGCTCCAGAATGTACGCCTATAACAAGTGAAAGAGCTTAGTTTCCTGTGGGCTACACATCTTCTGTTTGAAACATCTTGTTTTATTTATTTTAGAAATGGGAACATGTAAATCTTTTCAACTGGCTGAGTTATTCTCACTCTAGGTTCTAATTGCAACAAGCTTAATGCAGCTCAACTGTTTTTTACTTTATCATTTTACCGTTTTGATCTGTTTTGTTCCAAATACTTGCATTTACCAAAATTAATTTTTAATTATTTGAAAGAGACGCTGTACTTTTAACAGAATGTTTTTATTAATAGTAATAACAATGTAATTTTTACAAAATCTGTAATTATTCTGTTTTAGTCACAAACCCCAGTTCTGATTTCATCATTGCTTGTAAGAACATCCCTCAAGCCAAGTTTCCCCTGCGTGTTCTGTTCGGTTTTTGAAACCAGCTCTCATTGAGATTATCATATTTTCCCTTCTGTATGCCTACCTGTGTTAAAACACATAAAACCAGCAGTGCAGAACACACTTAATGTGGATGAGTGTGTGTGGGGGGCTACTTGACAGAAAATACTGCTTTATGCTGTAATCCACTATCACTGGACAGAACACATTAACCATTTATTTACACATGAAAACATGTTTGTATTGCCAGGATAATGGAAAAATGGGAACTTTTTTTTTATAGTAGTCCAAATTCTGATCACTTCTGTGCAAATGAAAAGCAAATATGTATGATGCTGTATAATACAAGCTGTAAGGAGATGGTTTAAAATTTATAGACATAAAAGCAAGATGTCAATGCACTATAATCCCCAAAACTATTTTATATAAAACATACATTGTTACATTTACATTACTGTCAGTTTGGCATTATATGGTCAAAACAATATGTTTCAACTGGAATGGCATGAAAGTGCTACAGCCACTTGCTGCTGCTGCTATTTGTGCTTGCACAAAACAAAATTCTATATAAATTTTTTAATGCATATGATGGTGTATTAGGGCCAGACTAAGATGTATTTATTTAATTATGAGAATAAAGTCATCATATTACCAGAATGAAGTTTTATGAGAATAATGTCAAAATAATGTGAAAATAAAGTTGTAATAATATGAGAATAAAGTCATAACATTAAAAGAATGATACAATGGAAAATATTGTCATAAATATTAGCAGAATAAAGAAGCAATATTACCAAAAGAAAGTTGTAAAATTTTGAGAAAAAAGTTGTTTTATTGAGAGGAAAAAAAAGCTTTGACAGTCATCAAAATCTGACATGACCATGCTCGGCCAAAAAGCAACTGATGTGTTAAATCATTAAGTATTTCCTTCTTTGAATAATTGTATAACTTCACAAGATGCTTAACTTTCCTCCATTTAATGCAGTAAGACTTCTTTTTTGTGTAGCAGTTTTCATAAAACTATGACTTTATTCTGATAACATTATGACTTTATTCTCATACACATTTTTTCCTCATAATATTCTCGTCATTCAAAAAAAATTCTCATATTCTGCCCCTAATACTCTGTCATAAATGCAAAATAGACATTTATAAACTGTTTTTGCATGAATTGCTTTGAAACATTTAAGATTAAAACTGTCTTTCAATAGCAGCAATCCACTTAGCTCCGCTCTGACTAGCCATTAGCTCGTCATTATTGTCAGAATCAAACTCAATTTTTCCAGAAAACAAGTCTAACCCCTTTCTAATTCTGCAGAAAAGTTAAAGGTTTCATGTTAGAAAGGAAGAATGTGGGAAAGTCAGGAACGTTTCATCATATTTAATAGAAATTCAAACACTAACAAAGTTCAAACAGCGCATTTATGTGTGTATACAGCCCCTTATTTTTTTCACCACACACTAAACAAATGTATGCATGAAAAATAAAATGTTATTCAGATAAATACAGAGGCCCAAAAACACTTTGAAAACAGTAACTAAATGCAACAAATGTGAAGACATGTTAGCTTGGTATACTTACACAGATGTTCTGACAGCAAATATAAAATGTTTTGCTGATGATAGGTGAGTTTTACAGTGAATGAGTAAACTTTCAACTGCACAGCTGTACTTGAAACCAAGATACATGCGTATTACTATTATTGCCTTTGATTAAAAACTCTCTCTCTTTTTTATAACATCTATTTCTAGAAAATAAGTCTTAAAGTGTTCTTTTTATGCTTCTACATCCTACTTTTTATTTTTTTTATTCACAAACATCACAAATATTTTGTCTCTTTATGCTACAACATTCCAGCAAACTTACTTGTAGGGATCCCATTAACGTTTCACTCTGCATCACAGTCATAACAGCGTGAGGACAGACACCGTGACCTCTAAGAAAACAGAGAAGTTGCCCATCGACTGCCTCTGTGTGTGGGGGGGCTACTCGAGGACGGCGGAGGGAGGGGGACGCACGCAGCAGTTGGGCCGTCTGACATTTTGCAGCATTGACCTGAAAATGTTCTGCTGCCTCCTTTTGTTCTTCTTACCTTGTCGTGGTGAATCGTCGCCAGAGAGGGACTTCCTGAAGGAAGCCTGGGCCATCAGTTTCCTCTCCTGTTCTCTGATTTTACACTGCAGGTGGCTCTGAATGGCAAAACCCAGCGATTCTGGGTCCACGGAAGCCCCGTACACCTCCCAAGTCATCCCTTGTTCATCCCAAACAACGTCATGGACGCTCTTTTCTTTCTGCTTCCCTGACTGGTCGTCGTCCTCGTCATTTCTCTCCAGTTCCACGTCCTGTTCGCCAGAGCTTGTCTCCTTCACTAAGTCCTTCTTTTCAGCCGGATCCGACTTTGTTACCGTCGGTGGTGCCTGCTCAGCTTTGGTTGTAACGGCAGCCTGAGACAGTGTAGCCTTGTTTTTATCTGCACAAGCAGCAGCTGTCCTCGGAGATGTGACGACTCCGACAGACTGGGGTGTTTTTTCCATGGATATTTCAGCTCCACTTTCATAAAGGGAGTCACTTGTCTCCCTGCTCTTCCTGTGGTTGCTGTGCTCGATGTTGATCTGATAAACCGGCTGAATGTTGCACGGAGCCGATCCCGTCTCTTTAGGCTTCGCTCCCAGCCTGGAGTCAACTTGCTGGGGCAACGTCTCTGTGCTGAGCCCGGCCTTTTGGTTAGAGCCCACCTCTGCTTTGACCGTGAGTCTCTCCGACACCTGATCGGTGGCTAGAGAAGACGTGTAGATCTGATGGAAACCCAGACCGTCGTTAGCCTGGTACATCACAGCCAGGCTCTGGACTTCCTCCCAGGGGACGGTGCCGGCACTCGGCTTGTGAGCCACAGCGGACGGCAGCAGACTCGGACTTGTGGCCACAGATTTGCTGGCCGTGTTTGCCACCGCCTGAACCTCCATGTCGTGACACTGCTTGACTGGAGCCAGCGACGGGAATGAGGTCATGGTCGAAGCCTCCCTGTAGAGCTGCTGCTCTCCTGCAGAGACAGCTGCGTCAGTCTGGCTAGTTTTCTCAGCCACCTGCCCACACGTCGACATGTTTTGTTTAGCCTGGGGCGAAGCAGTCTTCGCTAAAGATGTGGCGTGATGTTTATCCGAGGAGACTTCTGGTGCCTTTGCTGGTGGAAAGCCTGGCCCTGGATGTGCTAAACACACACTCTCAGCTTTAGACACGCTCTCTGCTTCTTCACTAATGCATGGAGGTTGAGTGGAGTTGACAGGTTCAAAGCTTTCTTTAGGTTTTGGTGGTACAGAAGCTGTTGAACAGCTTAATTTATCTGGCTCGTAAGTTTTTTGTAGTACTGCAGTATCTGTGTTTTCGGAGGCTGCAATTCTCTCTTTGATATCTTGAGTTTCGATTGATGCATTTCTGATTTTGCTGGCATTGCTCGGGTTTTTGTCGTTTGGAGAAACTTGTTTATCGCTGCTCTTCGGCGCCGTGGATGTGGATGTCACAGCGTGCTCCACCACCGATGCACTCGGCTCGTTTACTCTGCTGTCGTTGTGGTGCACGTCGACGTTTGACCCTGCAACAGCAGCTGGTGGACCTGTTTTGCACACATCCTTTCCATGAGTCGGGCTTTGTATTTTTATGTTGGCATTAGAATCCCTCTCATCTCCCACAGCTTGGACAGTTTTTGCCTGGTTGGACTGGTCACCACTTTCCACCGGTTCAGATGCCCTTTTGTTTGATGCTGGCTCTCCTCCTTTAGGTGCCATATTTTGGACAGGTGGGACGGTGGAGGTTATCAGAGATGGGCCGTCCTGTTTGTCAAGGGATGTAAGAGGAGCATTCGAACAAACCTGAGAGACTTTGAGGTGGGGTTCGTTTTCCCAGTTGGAATTCGACTCCTTATTTCCCAGAGAGTCCACCTCAGCCAGCTGAGGGACCATCTGGACCGTCACTGTCCGTTTTGGATTAGTTCCCATACTTAGTTCACTGTTTTGGTCTTTAAATATGTTGTAATCCAGCGGCGACACAGAGGCACAATAAGCCCCTTTATGTGACCACCTGAGGGAAAAAACAGAAACAGATTCTATTTGTTTGGGATCATTAATCTTTACTCATCATAAAATGTGAACGAGATGAATAAATTTACCAAGTACGTAGAAAATCACACGGTTCAGTTTTTTTTACTAGCTTATGACAAAAATGCACAGACACTTAGTCTCAACGTACCGACAGATAAATCTGAATATTTTCACGTTTCCTTTTTTCATATTACATCTGACTCTTGCTCTTTTTAAACATTTACCTGCATCTCACTCACTTTCACACAACTGTGTTATTCTTAGCTTCATTAAAAACACACGTTATAAATGCTAAAACAATTTTACTGCAGAAACTCACACAGGGGGTTGTGTTAGTTTGACTCTGCTTGAGTAAAAATCCATCCCAAGTTTAGAGATGATAAAAGTTTGGTTAAAAGTTTAAAACCAGCCTGTATTATCATGTCTGTATCAAGTGACATGAATTTTAGAATATTTTGAGTGTTTTTTTTATTTTATTTTAAAGCAACCCAAAAATGGTCAAATATACAAATTCAAACCCTCAGCCTACCTCGCCCTTAAAGCTGTTTTGTAAACCACTGTTTCTTCTTTGAATGGCAGTAGATGACGATGAAAAATTATTCTGTTTTTTAAGAAAATGTCACTGCTTACATTACCGATGACAAACACATACTTGCAGCTCTGTCAGCAACAATTTATTCAACAGTTTTGAACATTTTTCTTTATACTTGCAATACTTATTTTTTTCATATAATCTCTTATTTTAGTGACTCAGGCAAAAATAAAACCAAAACTTTGATTAAAAAAAAATAAAACCAAGAGAGCAACGCAAACCTTTTACAGTATGTGTGACAAAACGAAACTGACAGAACTTGTGGTTAAAATAAATATAGATTTCAACACAATGGTGTTTGAAATGCACCACCTGAGCATCACATATCTCACTTAGGCTGATTATTGATAAACGCTGTGTATAAACCCTAACACTAAAATCTATTATTCACTGATGGGAAAATTTACATTTGCTCTCAGATCTTTTAACATCAAGGCAAGCATGTTATTACGTTATTAAAATAGCTTTTATGCATTAGTCAAGAAGTGGTTTCAGATGGACTGGACCCAAGAATGCAGACTGGAACACAATAACTAAAAAAAACTTGGACTTTAACAAGAAAAATAAGCAGCTGATTGGGCAGCACTAAACCAACAACAACAATAAAACTGTGACTAAAATAACAAGAAGCACGTGTGGAACAGGCAGGTAACAAACGAGATGATAGACTGATGAGTGACAGTGAACCAAGGGTAGTAGGCTGAGCGGAATGATTACAAGTAATAACAGCTGAGGCTCGTGAACATGAGGAGCTGTTTCTGTTTATGAAGGAATGCAGACCTGGAAAAAACTTAAGATTTGTTTAACAGTAAAAAAGGTTGATGTGGAAGCAAAACAAACATACTAAAACTACTGAAAAACAACAGAGGGGAACCAGACATGGCATCGAGAATTCAACAATGCTTAACTGAGAAAGAAGTGAGCAACGTGGTCAGGACCTGATGAGTGGAATGGAAACACCTGAGGTCAGGTGAAAGTGGGCGGGGCAGAAAATCACAGAGGAGAAGTGGCTGAAGGCACAGAGGAAAGCAGATCCAGACAAGCTAAAATCAAGGAATAAAATGAACCAAACTCACAAAAGAACAAATCAAACCAACAAATAAAGAGAAAGCAACGATCACGAGAGTTTGCTCAGAGCAATGCAGGCTCTGGAGGAAATTTTCTTGACAACTTGCTCTCTTTACATTGCCATTCGTTAAACATGCTTCTAAAAGACATCTTTTCCACAACAATTTGTCTTTACTTCTTTTTTTTTCAGTAAAGTAATAAATTTGTCACAAACAGTGACCTGCAGACTCCAGGGACTGCAGAAGGACTCACTGTCCATCTTCTCAACACATGGAATCAGATGACCAATACTTCAACTCATCACTCATGAAAGAAAAGAAAAATGCAGAGGAGTCAAACTAAACTAACTGAGCTGACACCAAGGTTGCTAATCACACATTTTACGTTCATAAAGCCCAAACTGTACATTTGAATCTCTTCTTAAGGAATTGTGAAGCTCTTTACACAAAGTGAAACAGATTCTGGATCATGTTTGATCATTTTCCATTTCGTGACATCCTGTCTGTGTGAATGTGAGGGGAGAAAACCAGAATAGCAGGTTAGTGGTTTGGGTCAGGGACAGGTTTTCTGTATGCCACGCTCTGCATCCGCCTGTCAGTCCTGAAAGCGCTCATTTCTACAGAAAGCATATCCCGACTCTAATTGGATTTCGACAATCAAACGCCTCTGGTGTCTGCGCTTCCTTGCATGCAGCACTTCTTTTTCTCCTTCTTCTTTTAATATTATTTTTTAATATAAAATGACAGCAGAAAACAGAATATGCACGCGCGCAATCCAGTGATGCTCTCGACCTATTCAGGCCAATTAACATCCGAGTCATGTTCTAAAAGCCTCAGAGATCTGCTGATTGAATCTGACCTTGCAGTCGATTATAATCATATAAAAATAATATGCAGGAGGGTTTACCTTGATGTGCCAAGCCGTCCTTTTATTTTTATTTTTGGGGGTATTTTTTTTGCACGCTGGTGATGGGAGAGATGAAGCCAAAACGGTGCAGATGAATATGGAAAATGCAACCTTGTGTCTGTGACACCAAAGCCACGCCTTCCAGCAGAATATGAGTCTTCGGAGGTATCGATCCTCCCGCAGCCGCGCTCGCGCACAGGGGGGCCCCCGGTGCGCAGTGAGTCACCGCAGGGCTGACCGATGGCCGCAGCCGCCGCGGAGCTCCTTTGTTACGGCCGCCTCATCAGAAAGACGGGGGCGGATGTGGCTCCATCCCAGAGGGCAGCCTGCTCGTCCCGAGGTGCGCTGCTGCAGATGAATTGATGAATGGGAGAAGGGATGGATGAGCATGAAGGCAAACAGGATCCTGTAAAGGCTGCAGGCTTTAACAGGAGGGTCACTTGCGCTCGAAATTGATTACTTTTCGATCTTGGCGCTGCCTCCTGAGGAAGACTGTTTTCCAGCAGGAGAGGAGGTTTATTCATCTGCGCCTGTTTGTGCTCCGCTCTGATGGATTTACGAGTAAACACGTCCTGCTGTGTGTATCTCTGGATTGGTGCATTAAAGGCGCCCTTTATTTCTGAATGAGCTCATTTCTCTTTACATTATTTGGGGAGCAGAAAACCCCTGGATACAATGAAGGACCCTGTGTCATTAAAATTGTGACTTTCACGCAACTTAGCCTATATTCCATGTCTAAATTAAATTTGTTCCCCCCCCCCTATAAAAATCATTTTGGTCAAACCTGTAAAAAAAACACAATAGCACTGATGACTGAGGACCACGTCCACCCAAAACATGCAGCATTTTATTTAGAGCCCACAAATTTATTTTTGTGTCTTTAAATTTGAAGAACTTGTTTTTGACATCATTTTCTATAGACTGAAATTCAGATTTAAATGTTTTTTTTTTTTTTTTGGAGGGCACCTTAATAGGGTAATTGCAGCTGTTGCTTGGATAAAATGAGGTAAATTAATTTGTTTAAGTTAGACACCATATTATGTACTATACAGGAAATTGTAACAAGTGAGAATGATTAAATAGTCTCTCCAGGTTGGCAAACAAAACCCCAGCAATGACTTCTTCAGATGCACAAAAGCTCATGTTTTTTTCAAAACACTATGTTGAGGAATGCCTCACATGGGAAATTTCACCCGCTTCGGATGTTATCCTGAAGCACAAGATCAGAAAACACAACACTAATGTAATGTATTTGTCTCATTGTTTCTTAAGTTTTGGATGCTTTGTATTTTATTAGGACTAATCAAAATTCCTGCTCAGCTTTTCTGGTCCATATAATGATACCATGCTTCTTTCAACCTATTGATTTATCCCACGTAGAAACACAAATCAAACATCAACGTGCAAAATAAAGAACACTGAATAAATTGTGTTATTTTTCTTGTTGTATTGTGCCATGTCATTTAAGACAGTAGTAGCAAATGCACAGACATTTAGAGGCGACATCATTCATTTTTCAGATTTTTTTTTATTGTATTTGTTTACCTGTTTGGAAGTTTCTGTTATCAAATACAGCATTGGTCTTAGACAGGAAAACCAATGCAAGTGCATTAATTAGACAAGATACACCTTCAGCCTATAAAATCCTGGAGGGACTTCTCAGGTGAGAGGGCAAAACTGTGACTTAATTAAAGTCAGGTTCACCACACTGTTAAAAAAAAAACGTAGATTTTACGGTAAAACGCTGGCAGCTGGGTTGCCAGAATTGTACCGTAAAATTACGGGTAAGATATTTTTTTCTTTTACGGTTAGGATGTACTGTTATTGTTGTTTTTACGGTTATAAATGGTACTAAAGTCAATATTTTATTGTAGAAAAAAAAAGGTTAACCTCAAGAAAAAACTATGTTTTCCCCTAAAATTAACACAAAAATAACCTATAAATTAAAGTTTGTGCCACTAAGAAACACATTTTTTTCCTGTAAAACTAACAAGAAAATATTATTTAAATAAAAGTTTGTGCCACTAAGAAACACATTTTTTTCCTGTAAAATTAACAAGAAAATATTATTTAAATAAAAGTTTGTGCCACTAAGAAACACATTTTT